AGGAAAATAATGGATTTCAGCGTATTATACTTTTTATTTACTGATGGCTCAATTAGCGTCCACCACCTTATATTCAAAATGCGGTGCTTTTCTTCTACATTTGCAGCCTATTGCTTGGACCAAGGATCAAAATTGGGAATGAAGGGATACCGCATTTTTTTCGTCATCTGTGAAGAGCGGTTCCCTAACGTAGCATTACAGATGGAAAATTTCGATTCATCCTCAATTAAAAGCCCTGGCCTGACATTGAGGGCCACGCTAGATGCCTGCGGGTAGTAGGAGATTGGAGACCTCATCCGTACCGCCTCTAACCTCTCTCTACATGATGGTGAATTCACCAATTACCAAGACCCCCAGTTTGAGATGCGAGCATGGTCTAGGTTTCTAAGACAAGTCCGAAACCGGGTACACCATTTAGTTTCTGGAAAGTCCTTGTCCAGTGTTGGGAGCACAGCCCATACTCCTAGTAATCAGGGCCGGGGTGGATCGGGGGCATAACTCGCATTTACTGGGACGATTTTGCAAAATAGCAGTTTTCCTCGAAAGCAGGACTAGTTATTTTGCCCTGAACTGAGTTGTACAACCGAACTCTAATCAAACTTCCTGGCCCTTTATGAAGAATCTAAGAAAATCTAAGAAAATATTCTGTGAGTGCTAAGTGCATAAATTAGACACGAATTCGCTTCTAACCCAACAATTAGCAAATTATTAGTAGGTGATTGAGAAAATCAAATGGTGCCTATGTACTGTACCTGTGTTTGAAGTCTAGTGAGACCAAGTAACCAGAGCATTTGACCGGGACGTTTCTCCTGGAGACCGTCCGGTTTTGGTGCCATCGACGACGACGACGGTGCGTCGTAATCGCCGGTGAGCAGAATTGACGTCGGTTTCACTTCTCCTTTACCGAATCGGAATGATTTCGGCAATATCGACGACGGTATCGTCGTGACGACCTGAGGCGTAATGAAAACTAGCGTGTATCAACAAAACGAACTGAACTAATGTGACTAAATGGGACTAATTCCCATAAAAAACGGTGCTCTATCGAGGCAACGCTCAGGTCCGCAGAGATGTTCAACGAAATCAGAACTTTTTAGTAAACGAATGTATCGAAAAAAACCTCAGTTTTCTAATCTTTTTAAAAGACTTCCTAAAAGGTACGAACGCTGACGAACGTGTAGCTTCAAATTTCAAAATCTATAAAAAACATTTTCTGGGTCGAACGCCGCTGGTACACCCAGCAGAGGGGGAAGTGGGGGCAGCCTAAAACACTTGGCATCCCGCTTGTCTCTGTATGACTAAGCTAAGGAAGAACAAGAGGGATGTAAATCATTCCATTTTCCCCAAAGTTCATCCTCTAGCTCAGTCCCCCCCCCCCCCACAGAACACTACGCCACTCAAACATCTCTCAAGCAAGTATACTGTGAGGTCCAAATCAAATCCAAATGCTACTACGATCCTGAATGGAAGTCGGATGCGTGGCGCAACCCAAAAATGACTAGTCGACTCCGATCGTAATTCTTTTCTTTACCCTCATGTGAACCTTACCTTGGCTCTCTATCGAGTTTAGGTTCACAATTGTTAAAGAGGAAGCGACTAGAGCAATTGCTAGATGAATAAGTCCCTGTTGGTGCACCAATTCACTAATCATTCACAAAAAAAACAAAAGTGGGAAAATAAATCGCTTGAAAAATTAGGCGCGAGAACATGTCCCTGGGAAAATCGTGATAGGATTTAAAAAAATTTGTAAATTACCCACAGTAAATGAACAAACAATTTTCAGAACAAGTCTCTGAGATCTCTTGAACGGGTTTAACCTTGTGAAATTTCCCAAAATTGATAATTTTCAGTTCTTTTTTCAACTAGTGCATGATAACTGATAATGGAAGTGCTGAACAGACCTGAGCGTTGCCCTCTCGATTTTGATTCACTCTGATACTTGAATCTACTACTAATTCGCAAACTACGGCAAAAATCGTCTAAAAATGTTATGCAAATGCAAAAACAATCATCTACTGGAAAACGGAGGTGAAAACTACTTCAAAACAGATCCTTCCAAAATCCTATCAAAACTAGGTCAACGCAAGCAAGTGCCAAGATAAACGGTGCATTTGCTAGTACGTGAAAATTGAAATACGAATGGAGAACTCGCTGCCAAGTGATTGAAAGATTTCGCTATTGAGCGCCTGCGCTTTCTCAGATACTGTAGCATTATAGATTTTTCGTAAGAGGACCTTAGGGATTTTAGTAAACCCCTGGAAAACATGATACAAAGAGCGTCGTTAAATTGAACTCAACCAACCTGTCCCCAAATAAGTTCTCCCAGACCACAGGCGATACAGATCGCCCATTGGATGGCGTTCAGTGGAGCGGTGGAGAACCAATGACCACCGAATTGTACGATTAACACTTGTGAAATGAGCGTTGTGATCCAGATGACGCAGAAAATCGGATTCGAGAAGAGTCCCTAGAAGTGAACGATAAGTAGGGTGGTGATGTGACTCCAGAGTTTACCAACAACCTTAAAAACTTAATTTACTAGCTGAACCAGTTGTTCCTATACTTTTGATCATGAACATCAAGTGAACTTGTGACGAAAATTCCTGCGGAAAGGATCAAATTTAGCGCTAAGACCAGGATCGCCCGTCCATTGTGCCAAATTCAATGAGGTGGGAAGAAGGGAAGAGAGGCCATATTATGGATGGCCGGTCGTATTCGGGGTTGTTAGAGAAAGATCTTGGAGCTGAAAGAAATACCCTGATTCAACAGACATCTGTAGATTTTGCCGTTTCAACAGCTACATTAATTTACCCCCTTGGCACAATCGACGTTTCAGCGAAATCATCGAAGTGAAAGATGCGAGGACACTCCCCAAGCAGGGTCAACCCTATGTTGCTACAAGTAGCAACGGGGGGTCGTATTTTGATGAGTTTGTAGAGGGGGGGTCGTACTTGCTTTTTGCGGTTTTACGGTAAGTATATACCCCCGCTCGACGGTAATTTTTGGGGTTGTAAAAATTGTTTTGAAGGAGGGGGTCGTATGAAACATTTCATGAGGGAGGGGGGTCGTAAAAACTTTTTGAAAAGTAGCAACGATAGGACCGACCCTGCTCCAAGCGGTCTCCTCTTGCCCCACCCCCTTCCCTCACCCCTGTCCTCCCTCCCCTCGTCGCCTTGAGAGTTGCGGAATTGGAGTTAGTGTATCCAAGTGCAGCTTCAACGACATGATCGATTCTAAAGCCCGGCACCACCTATCAGAGAAGAGATCGCCAAAGAATTTTGAAACCTATCACAACTACGACGAATCTCATCCGCTCTTGAAACCTTTCAGTCAATTAAACAGAGGAGGTTGTTGTAGTATATAATAAATGAACAAGGTCGATTCATTTCAGTGTGTCTCTATGAACGCGGTATGTGGGCTTCTGCTGATTCCCGAATAAGAAGTTGGGGCAATCACATCATCGGTTCATAGAGAAAAGGATTCTCAACGTACCTAGAAAGAAGTCCTAGGCCTAACATGAAGGCACCAATGTAATAGTTTGGGCAATCACCACTCAATGAACCATGGCTGCCCTTTAGCGCCACAATGGGGCCATAAGGGTTGCCGGGATTAGCAACACGGGTATACCCCCCCCACTCCCGTGGACCCGGCTAAATTGAAAACCCGGAAATTTTGCGAGTTTTGCAAAACCTTCGAAATACTTTTGCTTGAGATTACCCTAGTGATCTCCACCTCAACCGCTCCTCATTACGTCTCCCCTCCTAATACGCTTTGAATGTTTTCTGAATGAAAATAAATATAGCATATTTAGCATTTCACGAATGATTGCTCAAAAGATGACCAAATCTCATCCCTTCCTATTCGGAAATCGATTTTTCCATCGATTTAAATTTCCGTCCAAGCGATCCACGTGCATTTCAATTCAGTCTTATACTGGACATGGAATCAGCATTTTAACACGGTACAGGACAAGTGCTCAAGCTTTCTCCTCGGAACCCCCCCCACCCCCCCCCTCCCTGAAAGGACAACGGTAACTGAACTAACCTTGAAAGACAAGACAACGTGTAACTTCGATACTAACCTTTGAAGACATTTCGTTCACCGTGAACCTTCCTGGCATTGATCTCATTGCACAGTGTCATCAGAACAAATGCATTGAAAATAATGGTGAAGTGGGCGCTTGGCGGTGATCCCAATGGCGCATTTCGACCGGACGGTGTGTCCGGAATGAACTTGTCACCTGAAAATCAATTCAGTGAGTGCTAAACGTAAGCTCTATTTATTTATTTATTTATCTATTTATTTATTTATTTACTTATCTACATACATCACTACTAGAAGAAAAAATTATTAGGGAATGTGATAAACACGTCTCCATCGTTGCTAGTGTTGAAAAAGATCAGAAAAAAACGTAGAGCCGTGGCCAGCGTACGGTTCTAATGTCGGTCACTAAGGTCGCCTCACCGAGGGTTTCCCTAGACCCAGTGAAACTATGGGAGGGAAATTGGGAGGGTTTGAAACACACTGTCTTGTTAGGTAAAAAAGCGGTTTGGTGTAAATCTGCGGCGCTTATCTGCGGAAGCATTACGATAAACAATCTCATTCCCCAAATGCGGCGCGGGCGGCGAGCCTCACTGTCGCGCGACGCCGCGAAGTGACCAGCACTCTCGTTGCCCAAAAGCTGTGGGCCTGGATTCTTGGCACTAATTTCCTCCTATTTATTTATTTATTTATATAACCCTAACGATTAGTCGAGAGAAAACAAGGGAACGAATTCTTACCCCAGAACATGATTCCGAAAAGAATCAACGAGTTGGTAAATAGCATGTCCAACAATGTTCTTCACCATAGTCCGTGAGATCAGCGACTTCGTTCGGCCGTAGGGTTTTCTGGAAGTTTAATTTTCCATAAAAATATTAAATTTTATGAGAAAATTATTTTCTAAACAATTCGTCCAAAAAAGGGAGAGGCGAACCTCCCGTAGCTTATACTAGGATAGTTTATTTTTTATTCTGTTCAAATTTTACTCCATATTTTCACTCTTCTTAGTTTTATGTTATAATTCTGTCTTATTTCGATCTCTAATCATTAGCTAAATTATAATTTTAATTATTCAAAACAATCGAGAGGAATATTCAGTACCTGTCTAGGAGTTCTTCAGTGGGCATTTCGGTGGCCAACGCCAATGAAGCCAAAGTGTCCATGATCAGATTTACCCACAACATTTGTACTGCCTGAAAATGATTGAATAGTGATAAGATGACCAAATTATCAATAAAAAAACTTTCTAACTGATAAGTACCTTAAGGGGCGAGTCGCTAATGGCACAAGCTCCAATGAACGCGATTGTCACAGCCACAACGTTCACTGTCAGTTGGAATTGCAGGAATTTCGAGATGGAATCGTACACGTTACGACCCCACATAACGGCCTTAAAATGACTGTTTTTAGGTAAGAACCTAAAAGTTGTCAATTAAAGTGTTAAAACTGATACCTTAACAATAGATGTGAAGTTATCATCGGTGAGAATGATATCGGATGCCTCTTTGGCCACATCGGTACCAGCAATGCCCTGAAGAATCGCTTAGTGACAAGAAGAACTTATGGGAAAAGGTTAGAAGGTTAAAAAAGGAAGTTCGAATTCAAATGAAAGTATTGAATAACTACCAGTTATTATTAGTAACTATCAGTAACTAACCATAGCGAATCCGACGTCGGCTTTTTTGAGCGCTGGCGCGTCGTTGGTACCATCACCGGTGACCGCCACCACTTCTCTAAACAAAATCAATGATTTCGATCGATTTTCGACGAAAAAAATCGAATATCCAAAGCTGTTGAGAATCGATTACCTGTTCTTGGAAACCTTGCTGTCGATGATTCCCTTAACCAGCACATATTTATCGGATGGCTGAGCTCGGGCTAAAACTCGTAGCCGTGGCCAGATGGCGTCCAACTTTGCTTGACTGACTTTCCCGTTCTCGTCACGAATCCTGGAAAGGCATCATCTTTCTCACATCAAGATAATCAAGGATAGCTGAACAATTTTCCAGGTAAAGCCGGTTAAAAGACCCAGACTGTCTTCAGAGAATTGGAGTGACAGTGTATGTCATCGGCAATGTTTTTGGTAGATCCAAATAGCTGAACGCCGTAAAGATATGGCATCGCATCTTCTGCGAGTGAGGAAAGCATGTGGCCAATTAATTGAAACAGATGCCAAATAATAAACAGCTTTGGGGTAAGGTGGGATCTCATTCTGGGCTACTGCTCTGCATTTTGATCCGAAGCAAAATGATGGGCCACGTATGTCATCGGCAATGTATTTGGCCCGAATATCAAGTAAACTGTCAGTAAATAGGCGGTGGTAGAAGACCGAAAAAGTGAAATAAATGGGTAAGTGCTTGGTAAAGGGCCACAGATCGGACGGAAAAAAAGCGGAAATGTGCATCTTCCTACCTGGCATTGAACTCCTTTCCTTCGAAGGGCAAGGAAATCCGCTCCTGGTCGTAGGATTCCACAAGCAGTGGCAATCGATCGTGCCGTGTTGATGTTATCACCGGTGACCATTCGTACGGTAATACCGGCTTTTTGGCATTTATCAATAGCAGCTGGTACCTAAAATATGCAAAAACCCTTTCTCTGAAATATTACCGTACCCGAATTCTTGAATTTCTTTTTATTTTATACTCAAGTTACATTATTTAATAAACTCAATAAAACCGTACTTCTGGTCGGACTGGATCCTGAATTCCCATGATACCAATCATCGTCATTCCGCTACGAATGGTCTCCTCATCGTCCCAATCAATAGGGCCGCTGTATTCAATCTAAAGGGATATTTTATTCGTACTTTTTTGAAATATAATGTAAGAAATATGAGAGAATAAATAATTACTTACTAAGTATTGATTGATTGACTCCAAACGAAACCATATTAGCAACTTTTTGATTACTTTCCTCAGGTGGAATTGCTGTTGTGGCAGGAGGCTTTCTACTTGGGACTGCTTTCAGGGGTTATATTCTAAACCAATTTAAGCCAGGCTAGGCCATCATAGAAGCCCTGCTCCGCTCCTCGGTCACTCTCACTATTTCCTGTCTGGGAGCTCACACGAACTGACCTTGAAACGTGGCTCTAGCTCCTTTATGTCTTACTAAGATGGGCGGTCCGCATTCAAAACCTAAGCTACAAACTGGATGGAACTGGAGCTGTGGCGTATCCAAAAAGGACCTAATCCAATCCGAACCTTTCTCTCCTTTATTCTTCCTAGCATTGTCAATGCTAAATCACCCCAGTCACCCCATGGAACAAATAACTATCTTAATCCCGGGGAAAATTTCGAGCCAAGCAGGCTATATTTGTAAGGGATAAACCAATGAAGGGCGTGACAGTGGCTTCTCCCACCTAATTTCAAGAATCAGTTCTACATTGAAAAACCAGTATGTCTGTTCTGACAGTTTGTAACAAGTCTGTATTCTCAGAAAGAGGGGTTTGGAGAAATCAAAGCGCCGAAACCCTGTTTATTTAGTATGATGATGTGTATGTAAATGCACAACCTCGTTCTGTTCCTTCTTTTTTCCCATCGGTACCATATCCTTATAAGCGACGCCTATCGTGCGAAGGCCGTCAGATGCCATCGGTTCGATCACATCTTTGACGAGTTCAGCCACATGTGCCGGCGAAAAAGTCCTGGACTTGTCCTTCATTGCCGAGAGCATATAAGAACATCTGAAACAAACATCTGAAATTGGGCTATAAATATCTCTACTGGGCACTTCACTACGAGTGGGTAGAGAACTGCCAGTAACGCTGCTTTCAAAACTGATCTCAGCAATTATCCTTCTTTTCGGGACACAAATTCGAAAGGAAATTTCATGATCAATTTGCTGCCCACGACATTGAAAACAGAGGCTCGGATTGGAAAAAAGTTAAGAAAGAGAGAAGCGCCGGAACTACAGGAAAGAGGCTTTCTTTTGAGAAAGTGGACAAGTCCACGAAACATATAGTGACAGAGAAGCTGGATGAAGTGGAGAGAGACTGAAAGAACAACCGAGACGCAATCAAATTTGCGAAGGGGACGCTAAAGTCCTGCCAGAAGCCTGATACAGTAACCTCCGTCGCCTTTGCACGAAAGTGGCACTCCTTCTGCTGTTACGAAACCACCGACAATCTTGACGGGAGGGGTTTTCCAGTGGGACCCATTCGTGGAATGTGCCTATAAGTCTTGTGACTCAGTGCTACATAGATCTGTGAGTCAAGTGGTTGGCCATTGAGTTGGGGGGGGGGTAAGGGTCTAAGAAAGTAAGCTACTATTTATCCGTGAGCAAACTCGTCTCGTTTCCAGGAAGAGGCAGATGACGTTCGACAACCAATCGCCGTTATTCCTATTTATCCCTATCCATTGGGACAAGGACGTTTTTCCCAATGACTCATGATAGCCAGGAAATGAATTAAATCGTTCCTTTTATGAGTAAGGCGTGGCTTTCAAAAACAATTACATTATAGAGGAGGGACAGCCCCGAGTACGTACCGCTCAGCAAAGAATCAAAAGGCAATTCAGGAAATCGGTTTTTTTTTCCAGAATAATTTGCCAGAAACTAGAAATCGCCCCGCCCCCTCTAGCGACATTGAGGGCACAGGATTGAGCAGAGAGAAAGAAGTTATCGCGACAGAGACGCAGAGGAAACACTTGGTTTTCTTTGTGACCCTCTTAGTTTACTTTATTTTAAGCAAAATTTGTACTTGAAATATAACTCCAGGGCTTCCTGGACAACAATATTAATAAGAAATTAAAAGAAATGAATGAAAGAAGAAAAAATAAATAAGGAAAAAAATAAAATAGAAAAATAATTTCCAGGTGTACAAGAGCAATACATTATAGGTAATTGAAAGTCTCAAGGAAAGTCAAAATTTACCTCGACAAAATGATTTCCGACGCTCCCTTAGCATAAATCCGGTAGACGCCTTGTGCCAACTCCAAAACAGTCATCATAGATTTCCGAGATGAGTTGAACGTATAGACCTTGAATAATATTGATTAGTATTGATTATTCTACACTTTCATTCAGAAAATCTTGGTTTGCTCACCTTGAATAGTGTTTCCTCGGGATGTTTTGCTCGAATTTCTTCGTAGCTTTGCTGCATATCGAGTACGAATCCAAGCAACGCACACTCCGTCTTGTTACCGATCTTCATTGATAAAATAAATTAGATTAGAAATTAATTAGTTAGAAAATTTTTTCAAGTAATTTTGTATCAAAGCTGCATTTTCACATGTTGCAGGGCAAATCTCAAACGAACTAGGGCAGTGGCAAGCTACATGGTGCCAGGCGAATGAGGATCGAAATTTTGCTTAAGGTCATCCATCGCTTCCCAGCTTTTCCTGTCACTACCTGATATTCATTTTGTTATAATAAAAGTAATGGCTTTATATATGATTAAACTTTTGTATTTGTAAAATTAAACTGTTTTTGTTTTTATTTTTCGATCTCAATATTTTTATATGTTTTATTCAAAATTTATTTAGGGGGTGGGATTCAAAGAGTAGTTTAGTCTCCGTTTCGCACAAAAAAGGGTTGTCAAAAACAAAGGCTGATCTCATTAAGCCACTGTATGGGCTAGGCGCGCATACGAATATCTCTACAATTCTGGGTGAAGTTGCGATGCGTGGCGCATGCCAGGCGGGCTTGGCTGCTGAAGTTTCTCTCTCTATCCCACTAACTCCGCTTCCTCGTGTGATTTTCGTCGAGTTTTCGGAGGCATTGATTAAAATAAGTTCATCCCGCGGACAATTACGGCATTTATTGTTGATGTCCATTCATGTGTGTGCCATTACGGACAAGACAAGTTAATCTGCGACCAAAAAATGCCTTCCTTACCTGTTACGTTGTTCTCCGGGCTTGGCCGCCGGCAATACTTGCGAGTTGTAACCCGAATTGATGCAAATACCTTCGATGAGCAAATCACGAGTCTTCTTGTTCATGAGATTGCTCGCCGGCAGTTGGTTCTTGTAGAAGTGCTCTAAAACATCAAATTAACATATTTTTGTTTCCCTGTGGTATTTTTTATATTTTATATTTACTTTTCTAGCTCTGTGAGTACTGAAATCGGGGTGTTTTTGGACAGAAACTAAAGCGTCATCGGTGACACCCTGAGCCCTGAAGGCAACTAAAAATTGGGGTCAAAATGCAATAAAATTGAAAATTGAATAGCCAAAGTCAACCACCCCCTGTCGCAATTTCACAAATTTAACGACTCTCCCTCTCTCCCTTTTAGCGGGTTTCTCAACCGTCTAGTTCCCTCCGGGATGAACGTTAAGCGGGGGGGGGCAGCAAATATGTCTCATAATTACTTATTTCCTATTTCGTGATCTGACTTTTTCCTGCAATATTAACTATTGATTCAATGACATTTTAGCCACACATAAACAATAAACAATAAACTTATTTCCGAAGCCCTTACCATTGATGTAGCACTGAACGCAAGTCATTCGATTTGTCGTCAGAGTTCCCGTCTTGTCCGAGCAAATCGCCGTCGCGTTACCCATCGTCTCACAAGCATCCAAATGTCGCACCAAATTGTTGTCTTTCATCATCTGAAAAATCGAACATTTTGAAAAACTTCACAGAAAAGCTCGTAGAGCAGTGGAGAAGTGCGTATTGCGGAATGCCCAGCTGATGGGTTCAATTCCATCCATGTTTTAGTCCGCGTAACAAAATCCCAACCAACTCAGCAGCAGTCCTTTAGCCCTTGCTTTGACGCTTCAGACAAGTGTCCCTCAGAAAAGAGGAACACAGTAGCCCCCGTTTAAGGCTATGTCCTATGGCCTATCCGTTGTGATAATCCTGTCAGCGCTAATCGCCCATCATTCAGGCGTCTCATAGCAACTATCAAAAAAGCGCTACAGCTGAAGCGTCGCTGTAACTAATTTCTGAGAATCATTGTGGCGGGGGTTCACCGAAATGAACGTTCTTTTCCATATGAAAAAACACCTTTCCGTTGCAATTACCTTTACGAAAAGATATATGACCTAAATTCCCATGGCTGTGCATGGATTTGCAGGTCATTGAATTACTGTAGAATTTGTAAGTGACGAACAAAAGTAAAAATGGTTTCCTCTTGAATTATCACTACCAGCTATGAGCACACGTGAATAATGAAATAGTGTACCCTTCTATATGGGCTAGACAGTAATGGAAGTGAGGATGCGCCATGCATACGACTCTCAAGGCTGATCGGTAAGGCTGTTGGAAGTCCGAACCAGAAAACGATTTCTATACTATTGTAGGTAGCATCAGGAAGACATATAAGGACGAAAATCGACTGTTGTGCTGTAC